AAGGTACTGGACTTCTCTTGTGCTTGGTTTCGGTGGATAATGGAATGATTTAATGAATTGAACAAATTGACAGCAAGTAAAAACGGATAGATAACCACATTACAAGTTTAAAGGGTAAATTTATAAATTTAAAATTAATTTAAATCATTCCCTTCCTTTTACCTTAATTATCCAAACATAAAATAATACAATCCTTCCCTTCCCTTCCCCTTCTTCATTTTTATTTTTCCAAACAAAATTAACACAAATTATTTCCTTCCATTTTCTTTCCTTCCATTTCTTTTCCTTCTCCTCTATTTCCTTTTATTTTCCCCTATCCCCCTCCCTTCCCTTCCCTTCCCTTCCCTTCCCTTCCCTTCCCTTTACTATTTTCTATCCAAACAAGGCGTTAGAATAGATTCTGTGTTTCTGACACAACTCATCAAAGTTACTTCAGCTTTTAGCTTCAAAGATCCTACGGCCAGCTCAGCTGTCCAATTGATCGATGCTTGATTCGAACACAACCCGTGCTGTTCCTATACGGCAGGAAGTAGAAATATTGTGTGCCTATGTCTATGTGCGTGCGTCCTTCCAGGAATCCCATTATTGCTGACGTTTTCGTCCTCTTCTGCCGTTGCTTTCTGCTTTAAAATCCTGTTTTCGTCGCTGTTTCTCTCTGATTGGAAGGGTCCCCTCCGGAGAATTTAAGGTGAGGGTAACTGAAATTTCAATGCAATTATCCAAATTTATCTTCAACCACGTCCTTTAACTTTTCACTACGACTGTTAGGTAATGTGCTTCCGACTCTGAATCAGTTGTTCGCTAGACTTGATCCCAGATTAGTTTCATTCCGACCCCTTAATTTACAAGCTTCAATTTTCAGTCTTTCTGCTAAAAGTTTTCCAATTTTGAAGCTTTAATCTCCTTTGGAGGAAAAGGGGAGGCGGAAATTATGCAACCGTCGAATTTACAGACACCAACGTCTCCTCCGTCTGATGCGGTGGACTCGTCTCCGTTGTTGGCCCGCTCCTTAACCGACCACCTGGTGCGGAGCCGCCGCCTTCTCCGGCGACCACCTCCCCAGATACGAGGAGTGGCTGCGAGGCTTCTGCGCCGGGCTAGTAGCCGTCGCATGATGCTCCGTGAGTCATCGGTGCGGGTCCGGGAAACCGCGGCGGAGCAGCTGGAGGAGCGCCAAAGCGACTGGGCGTATTCGAAGCCCATTATAGTTCTTGATGTTCTTTGGAACTTGATGTTTGTCTTGCTAGCATTCGTTGTTCTGGGACTGAGTATGGAGGAAGACCCCGTTGTGCCTTTGAGGCTCTGGATAACCGGCTATGTATTGCAGTGTTTGGTTCATGTCGGTTGCATAATCACAGAGTACAGAAGAAGGTGCCAAGGGAGGGTTTTGAGATTGGAAAGCAGTGGGGATTTAATTTCTGCTTCAAATTCTGTTCCTGGGAGTGATGCAGAGGGTTCTGAGGATTATGCCACGGAGCAGCTTCATAGTGAAAATGAAACCAGGTATGTTTCATTTTGTCTTTTACCCCAGTGTTTTTATCTGAGATTAATCTAATCTATATATACCCTATTTCTAAATATGAAGAATTCTATGGTTTTATCCCAAATTCAGGATCAAAGATTAGATCTTTAGATTTGCTTCTCGGAATTATGTAATGTTTATGTACTTACACTTGACTTTGCAGTATTACAAAGCATCTGGAGTCTGCAAATACAATGTTTTCTTTCATTTGGTGGATCATTGGGTTCTACTGGGTAACTGCTGATAGCCGAGCTCTGACAAATGGTTCTCCTTGGCTTTATTGGTATGCTCAATGAGATATTCCTATCCTATGGCTCACTCTTTTGAGCTTTTTGCATATTGTTCCCTTGATCTACAAGTTCTTGATTAAAGATGGGTTTTTACAGGCTTTGTGTGGCATTTCTTGCTTTTGATGTGGTGTTTGTTGTGATCTGTGTTGCTGCTGCCTGTCTTATTGGTATAGCTGTTTGCTTCTGCCTTCCATGCATAATAGCCATCTTATATGCTCTGACAGATCGGGTAAGTGACCACCTGTGCTTATCACAAATATATAGTTCCGTGTTGTCTCTTCCAAATTTGCATTTTTTGGTGCCTTCCAATAGATTGATATTTAACCATGAATGCCTTTTTCATGTTTTTTCATGGTGGATTTCCAATTTTCCACATGATTGAATGTAAAAATCAAAGAACAAAGTCTTGGATAAAAGTTGTTGTACAATTAAGGTTATCAATCAGGATTTTGGGTCTAGAGCTGCAGAAACCTGTCTTGGACCTTGTTAGCATTGATTTAGAAATATTTGATGTTTGATGAACTGCAATACTCTAGTGAGCATCTATCCCTGTGTTTTTCATATTTTTGTTATTTGTCAAGAAAATCTTGATCTATACAGAACATTTCCTACATTCTAACCTCTGGGCTCTTGGAAGTACAATCTAGTGCCTCAAGTATGGCATTCCTTGTTTTCTGAGTTCACATCACTTCATTTCTTACTAGAAAATCATATCTTTTGTGCATTACATGCACAATTGCTTCCTTGCTTATGTTGTTGATTTTTTCATAGTGATTTTATTTAAGATGCAACATTGCTTAGTCAAGATGCGACCACTGATGAATGTTCCAGTCAATTCTGAGGGAATAGCATAAACCTGAAATTGTTAAGACACAAGAGTGCAATTGATTGCAGCACTGTTTTCTCATTTCTGCTTTTTATTCTTGCATTGCATCAAAATACCTTTTAAGTGAGTTATGAGCTTAATGTACGTACTACATTCCTGGGCTAGATTAATATGCTTCAATTCTAGTCCCCATTCTTGGATAATCCCTTTCTGATTGCATGTCTCTTCCACCTGTTAACAGGAAGGAGCTACAGATGAGGACATTGATCAGTTGCCCAAGTACAAATTCAAGAGTGCAGGTGATTTTGAAAAAGTAAATGGCGAGTTCCAAGACTCTCATGGGGGGATAATAACTGAATGCAACACTGACACGCCCATTGAACGTGTTCTTTCCCATGAGGATGCTGTAAGTGCCATCATACTGAGACATGGTTGTTTCTTTTATGTTTCAAAATTTTAGTTGGAACCATATCATCATCTTCACAACATAGTGATTCGGCAAGGAATAACAATTGTACAATAGGTAGATGCCATACATAAACATGTTTTCCACTACAAATCCAAGTTCATATTAGTAGTCATGTGACTATTGGACCCCATTTGGCAGACCTTTCCCCTTCACAATATTACTATTGAAATGGCATTGAAACTTATCATTCACTGCAACTGTTCTTTTTAAGTGAGAGTGGTGCCCACTAAGATGGTCATGTTTATTTGCTAGCCATTTTAAGAACCATTTCACTGTATTGTGACTGATCCTTGTAATGTAAATGATAGGAATGTTGCATCTGCCTTTGTGCTTATGAAGATGGAACGGAACTATGCGAACTCCCTTGCCATCACCATTTCCACTCCACCTGTATAAGCAAGTGGTTATACATCAATGCTACCTGCCCTCTTTGCAAGTTCAACATCTTAAAAGCTGGGAATCGAAGTAATGGTGAACAAGTATAGAAAATCTCAGTAGAGCCTCTTCTTACATGTTTAACTGTATATGGTTGCCACGTTTAAGACCTTCCTCCCATGATGCAGCTGAAGTTTGTATAACTTGCCTTTTTGGTATAGTACTTGCAAAACTTTATTGTATATGTGTTTTTTCCCCAATTTTTGTCCCAAATGATAGTAAAGAAGAAAGGCACTTAATTAGTAGATGGGAGAACTAAAAATAATTAGATTAGTGGTCAAAGAAAATAATTAAATTGTTTATTTGAAGGTTGAAAATTTATACTAATGTAATTAAAAAAGGAAAAAATGGTTGAGCTCAGATGCTGCTAACTCATCCTTGTAGTTCAGATGATGGTGAAGGACCCTACCTTCACAGGCAATTATCTTCATTGCTCTCTTGCACCAGCCGGGAATCGAACCCGGGTCTGTACCGTGGCAGGGTACTATTCTACCACTAGACCACTGGTGCTTGGTTGGTAAGCTGCGGAAACTTTTTATTTATGATTGAATGGTCATCAATCATGTTTGCTAATTCTTTAGGAAAATGTGCATATGTTAATTTAATATTTTTTATTTAAAAATATTAATTTTCCCTATTTCTAAATAAAAATGTTAAGTTTTAACCTTTTTATTTAAATATGTTAATTTTTAACATATTTTATTTTAAAATATTAACTTTTAATTTTTTATTTAAAAATTAATTAAATAACAAAAATTAATAAAATTAATATTTTTAAATAAAATAAACATAAAACTAACATTTTTATTTACATTTTTTCTCTTAATTATTTTGTAAATGCATTCGAACCACAAGTTCTTTTTTTTGATAATAAAAAATTTCAAAGAAAAGAACCTGGACATAAAATTCAAAATTTAAAAATTCAAGAACTTTTCTCATTGAGATAGTCAACAAACCACTACGTGTTGAACAACCATAAATCCTGTTTGTTTTGCGGTTGTGGGCTTCCTTTTCCACTGTTAGAATGTGAAATTTTTATTTCCTACCCACCTGGTGCATTCCTCAGAGTTGAATTCATGTCTCAATTCACATGGGTCTCG